GCTCAGAAGATGGGAAGCACTCAGAGATAAGAAGGTAAACAGAGACACGGTTCGCGGATCTGCTGCAGATCTGAACAGAGTCCAAGATGCACTCTTGTAAACAGCATCTCGATCCTTGGAACCACAACTCAGCAGCTACGGCAGGTTTACACGTAGCTAGTAGAGAGAGAGCGGCAAGTCAAGTGGTTTAGTGATTTGCTGAACACATCTACTTATCTAAAATTAGTGGTATGTCAAATAAGTAATAAATTACGAAGCGAGCTAGCAAATAGATTTTATTAATATGATGAATATCTCAGTGCGTATATATGCACATATCTGCTATACTTTTACATACACCAGATATTTTTATAAAAATTTTATTATAAAATTAAATTTTTTTTTCATGAAAAATAGTATTTAAAGTTATAGTAGTTAATTTTTTATTTATCAGATAATTATTAAATATTTTTATTATTTATCACACAGTTGCTTTTATTTTTAATATTTATTATTTTAGACTGTTCCTGTTTCTACTACACAACGTTTTAACAAATTTTGGTCTTATTATAATGCCGACAAATTGGAGTAATGAGGTAAATTTGTTGAGATAATAATTTAGATATGTTTTTATTTATTTCGCGCACAATTATAAATTACTTTTCTATTGAAACTTCTTTGCAAAGAATTTATAGGTCTGCTTATTCACAAAACTAATAATAGACAAGTAAGAAACCTGCTATATGATATACTACTCGTTATTGGTTACATGAACAATCCAAAAGTTAAGACTTTATTATTTGAATTAAATTGCACCGTAAAGTTTAATTATCGGAAATCCATCTCGACCGCTATTTGAAAGAAGTGCAAAAAATAACAAATTTTTAACCGTTAATGGTAGTTAAAGGGGGAAAAAAAATGAAAACGTCATTGATCCGTGCTGTAATGAATTCTGTAAAGTTCTCGAGAACGCTGAATGTTTCACGAACATTGGATACAGATCGGGCTTGCATTACTGCCGTGACGTTCGCAATCCATTCGGTCATGGAAAGATGCGAAGCGTCGCGCGGATTTAACGGATAACGATTATGGGGCCGCCGCGCTTTTCCGTTCCTCTGTGGATTTACGAGCGAGGCAATGTCGACTCGGGATATAAGGCGGATTCGTATATCGGATATTTTTATCGATACTCTACAGGGGGGGGGAGGAGAACACTCTCCAGAGCGCGCTGGGTCCGGAGATTGGGTCGAGCGTGAGCAGAATCGCTCCTTTTAAACGCAGATGAGCGACACGATGAAATTTGCAACGCGCACGATTACGCGAATTCGCGCGTGCTTTAACACGTTTGTGATTGGATGCACGACGACCGATTTCAATGCTCAAACGGATACAAACTGTCGCATGTTTTCAATCGTTGAAATCGGAAATGTCTAATCCAGTGATTTTTTTGAAAATCACGTACCGATTGTTACTATCTTGATGCATATCGACTGAATAAATCGAGTAAAATCTGCAGGTTTAGGACAGTTAGTTACAGTTGTCCGTTAACATGTATATTTTTTTTTATTGTTTTTGATGGATGCAATGCTATTAAATTCTTTTAATTATTCAACGGCCACCGAAACATTTATGAATATAATATAATTGTACTAAATCGTGATTACATGTTTGTAAGATTTTTAAAATACTTATTTAATTTATATTTTATTATTTATGTTTAAATTTTCAGTTTGCGTATGCTGTAATACCTTTGGAATGCTTTGACGGATTTTGGATGAGAATTTTGTTACCCTCAAAAAGGATGACGTACTAAAAATTGCAGTCGTTTCACGTAAGCTTTTAGAAGTCAATGCGGCTTACGATGTTTTTTACACATTCAATCAAGGGTAACGTTTTTTTTCAAAATTCAAACGCAAAGGTTTGTTAATAAAGTTTATTGAGTTTTACAAATTTTTCTTATAATAGTGACCGTCCAAAAATTTCTTACAAAACAGTATTGCAGAATATTATTTTTGCAAAAGCTTGTTTTACTATCTTTAAACTTCATTACGGTTAATAATGAGAATAATGTTATAAATAATTTGAAAGTTTTGCTAAATATGCTCAGCTTCAATTATGAATACATTAAGAATGTATGTATTATATTTATACATTTTCATTTATAAATTCATAAATTCATACGCTGGAAATTATATGTGAAATTTCGTTCTCTTGATTTACACAATGTAGATTTATTTACCGTACCGTCGAGATTTCACGTGAAACAATAGTACTTAGCAGTAAATACGCAACAGGATCGTCAATTGTGATCTCCAGAGGCAAATCATAAAATCACTATAGAGATCATGCGATGAATTGTCTCGGGGGATTTTCTAGATAGGTTAATGGCGATGCGTTTTGTAATTTTGCAGCATAATTAACATTTCTATTGTATTGATGGATTTAACAGTGCTTTTTATTCGAGGCACAAATTGTACAATTATAAAGGATTCGCCAGAGTCTCATTTTTTTCTGCAGCACAATTATTTTGACGTAGTTAAAGCTGAGTTTTTTTATTAAAATTTTTATGGCGAATAAGCACGCAATTGAATAAGTTGAACTAACATGAAACATATAATATAGATAAAATAACTATAAATTTATTTGTGTGCAATAAAAATAATATAAAACGTAATATATATAAAATAAAATCTTCCGGCAGGCTTTTCAAAAAAGAGGCATTACCGAGCCGTGCGAGAAGAGCTGAGAGAAGTGGATGTTGCCGAAGAGAGAAAAATCGTTCCACTTTGATAAGTGGCGAGTCCACGAGCCTAACATTCGAAAGTCGAAAGATTTAGGGATGGTCACCCTCTTCGGCGACACCGCAGTCTCGCATTTTCTAATCCTCTCCGCTCCTCTCTGTCCGCGGGATAAGGCGCGGGCGGGATCTCTTATTTTCTCGAGCGTAAATCACGCGACAGACGTTCCAGTTTGTACGAGAGGGCTAACGTGTGCGAGCAAGGAGGAAGAAGGGTTGCGTGAGAGAGACGGAGCGCGACCGAAATTGGAGTAATCGCGTCGGATAAGTGGCGGTGAGCGTGTGCGCGGGACGGAGATAGGGAGAGTCGAGGAGATTTGCATATCTCACGAAAGGAATAATCGATGCCACTTAATGTACCCTCTCTCACGAGCAACGAGCTAAGCCCGGAGATCGCTTCTGAGGTATTCCAAGCGGACAGCAATAAGCCGGAATGAGGCGGGCACACTGTGTCGTTTAAATGATAAACAGCGACGTGAAAGCAGATATAATTGTGAGAATGGCTTAGGGAAGCAAATGAAAAGGATATTTGCCGACAAGGATAAAGCTTTTTTGTTTTATACCGGTGAGTACATCACGTTCAGTTTTACGTTAGCATTACCATTCGGAGCGAAACTCACTCGTTCTCTTTTCAGGTCAACGAACAAAGCGAGTCGCAAAAGCAAACCGAGCCAAGAACAATTTTGCTATGTTAATCGCGCAGATGTATTCGATATCGTTGTTCTTAACTGCAATGTCGATACTCAGTTAACGATACCGTCAAGAATTCAGTTTGGAAGCCGGATATCCGGACATCTTTGCGATCGAGCCAAAACGGAAAGGCGAGAATGGCGGTGGAAGACGAAAGAATCGAAACAACTTCAGAAGTATCAAGGGAGTAGAGCAGAAGTCCAGCAAAGGGTCGAAGTTGCGAGGTCGAGAGGGAAGACAAAAGCCGCATGATACACACTATTCGGCGGCGACGCATTGGAACGTCCGAGCACGTTTGCACGATATTTTGCCGAAAATTAAATTCATAAGACAAGGCACCAATCGCGTATTCATTGGGCAGATCGCCAGTCGAGGGGGACGTTTTTCTGAAAGCCGCCTCTCAATAATCGCATCCGACGTGCCAAGACCGAACGCTCAACTCGACGGAGTTTGTATTCTGCGGATATGAATGCGGCGCCTCCAAGAATTCGTAAACAATTCGGGGAGTACACGCGCGTTGATCGTATTGGATTATGATTAACCCTTTCGGAATAAGGTAAGATATTTTCGTGATAATTTTTTAAATAAAGAATTATCTTACTAAGAGTTTCGTACTTTTGCAGTTGCTGTATTTCGTCGAAGAGCACTAATTGGCTTGTAATAAATGAACTAAAATATATTGTAAAATTAATTATCGCTCATGAAGATTGTATTTCTGATATCTTTGATTATTTTGTGGTTTCTTTAATTGAAAATATCACTGAATCATTCTGAATCAAATTAATAGTTTTAATTTGTAAGAAATATATGAGATTTGTGAATATTCGGAAATTTTTAATAAAAGATGAAAGTTTTAGAATTGAAATGGAAATGGACATTCTAAAAAATTAAGAATAAATGCGATAAAATATTTTACGTGTCAAATATGACATTGACTAATTTGGAACTTTAAAATGATTTATTATAATTATTTTACGTGAACTATTGAATCAATATACGTTAATAATATTTGGAAAAGACATATAAAATTTATGATATATAATTATTAATGGATAAAAGACCAATATATACCGAGATATTAAAGCCTTGATCAAAGGAACATTGATAAAAGAATTATAATTTTATTAAATACAAAATTTAATTTGTCATTTATTCAATTAGGTAAATTATTTTAGTGACATAATTATGTCAATTTTTTTGATAAATAAAATTACAATTATATTTTTATTTGAAAGATTCTGCAAAATTTAAGATGTTAAAACGTAGGTTACACCTGATATTCCAGATTCTTTGCATTTTGATTTATTATTACATATTCCAGAAATTCAAAATTTTATCTCGTCATAATACGCATATTAATTATTAAAATTAATTAATTGATCATTGCCTATTGTTTAAGATATGCGCATACTTCAATCGTTTGCATTTTTAAATTGCAAAGAAATTTGAAATTTATGGCCGTGTATTTCTTTTTGCGATTTTAATTTGAAATAATATTAGGTAATTTGTTAATCTGTTATAATAATTAAAAACATGGAGTTCGCGAAAAAATAACAATGAATTTTCTCGAAATTATTTTCCGTTTCGTCAATTAAATAAACATGTTTTGTACTGATATCGTTGCTTATGCTAGTACGTTATCCCTAATTGCACCAAGCCATTAATTAAACGCGCTAGTTAAAATATTTAATTACGCAATTTCATTTGTATTAATTACCAACAAGCTAGCGGCGAGAAATTTATCCTCGACGATTACTGCATTGCTGTAATTACGTTACATATTGGATTGGTGGTTGCAAAAAGAATTACACGTTCGGCCTTTTTTTAATTATTTCGCTTATTCATCTGGGAATAATCGCAGCCTCTGATTACAAAGCTTAATTTGCAACGAAAAATCCAGGGAAAAGCACAATAATCCGCAGGATTTATTAGCATTTTAGATACTTCAAATTTTCATGCGAATTAAATCTTCAAGTGTTTGTGGACTCATGCGTCCTTCCCAATCGAAACGATGCTTTATTTGTGGTCGTTCAGCGCTTTGTCAGGCTCGAACATATTATCATTCTATCGTTTCGTGAAGCATTCCTATAAAGTAAATAGGAAAACGTGGACTAATATAGTGCGATCGACGTGAAATTTACGGGAGACACTGTTACAGAAATTATTACGAAATACACAAATGCGTTTAATGAAAATTTGACGGTCGGAGACGCGTAGGAACGTATGTATAAGTCTATACAAAGTGATGTATTCTGTATATGCAGTGATGTATATGTATATATGATGTCAACGCACGCGTTTAGCATTAGCGATTTACATATGTGAAAATTGTACAAGTCGCGTTTGAATTATTGCTAATAACGAAGCTAATAAACAGTCTCCCGTCTGCTGCGTATTGTGTTCGTTTCGCGCATTCTACTTTCCAGGAACGACGGTCGTGAAAATTTGCGTTACTCACATTGCGCAGTGCGGATAAAAATTTCTGTGTTAATCCAATCGGAACTCAATCTGTGTCGACTTTGAGCCAGTTTGATTTATGGCTGATTGAACGTATTTAATGAGACACTTTTGGTTGGATTTGTTTGAAGTCATTGACAGTTTCGCTAAATAACGTGAGAAAATCTAAAGCCCGAACTTGTTATATATAGGAAGACTTTTTTGTTGTTCAGTCGATCGTTTTTAAATGATACACAATGACTGACAAAGCATCTACGACGTTTGAGATGCCTTATCTACAGGCGATTCAAAGTGTACCGGGTGACACCGCCAGCGAAAAATTAAGCTGGCTCGGGAAATTGGGCCGGTGCAAGGATGAGGTCATTAGAGAACTCCACAAGCTGCCGCCAAAATTGCAGCCTTTATTGGAAGTGGAAACCGCAATCAGATATCAGCGATACGAAAATATAGCATCGGCTCTGAAGTCCGACGACTGGACGATGGTGAATCGAGCTCTTAAAGCCAATTGGTTTTTCGACGGTAATCACATGATGGTGGACGTCGAGTACTTCAGTACATACATCTTCCCAAACATAACTCTTCGTACGAGGATACGTCTCGTAAAGACATTCGTGCATCGAATAAAAAGTTCGGCGTTCGCGCAGCAAATATTCGTGGCACTGCAATACGCTTACAATTACCAAACTGCTTCACCATTGCTCGCGTGTTGCGACGACGATTTTGCTTATGACACAGTTTTAAAGAGCAGACTCATGCTGCCCGTCGGAATCTTCAAAAAGATTTTTCGCAGGAACCTGAACCTCGCAGTGCGTTTTCTCAAATCATTTATTCTCAACTGCCATGAATACGCGCCTATTGATAAAGAGATTGTTGTAAACGATCCATGCGACGTCATTAAAAAATACAAACCTTTTTTGTCTCTATTACCGAAGAATCGACCGATGGATTTCGTAGACATCGCCGAAACGATCGCAGATTGTCCAGATATTAAAATCATGAGTAATAAGTGCGCTAAAAAATTCTTGCGCAAAGCAAAAGTGCAAGTGGCTAAGTATCCACATTTATACATGCCAATTTTACCGTCTAAAGCAATCAATTTGAGACAAATGGAGATGATGTTTCCAGCATTAATGAAATATTACTGCCGCGATTCCTTCAACACGGACTTGATGCTCAATTATTTAAAAGATTATCCGAAAGACAGAAAATTCGCGTTGCTTTGTAAAACATTCAAAGACGTTTATGATGATGAATTTCTCAATGATACCGAAAGAGTGACGCCTGAATTGTTGAAAATATTACCCTTCTGTGACAGGATTAAGCAGGCTAAAATAAAGATGAGAAATTTTAGTTCCTTGACTGACACCAGATCATGTAATTTCAATCAGTTCCTTCAAAACCAGATCGTTTGTTCTCATAACATATTGATGTATCAAATGAATTGGATTTGTTATTTCTCTATCGAAGTAGCAGTGCCGGTTCTCAAGTGTAAATTAAATACTACTATATGCGAAGAAGAAAAAGTTAGTTATTTTATACAATTAATATACACTTGCTTAATTAACGAGAACGACAATGAATTATGCAAGACTTTGACAGACATCACGAATAGCTGTGTAATCGACAACCTTGCATTATCCAAAGTAATAATAGATCATTTTTTGCTCATTTTCAATATGCGTTCCATTTCTTTAAGCGAAAAAAATGTCACCCATATGTTGAATATTATACAATATGTTTACACAAAGCACAATTATATTAATCAATTGGTGTTGGAGAAGATGCTGATTTTAAGCATTGTTAAGAAGATGTCAATCAAGATTCTGATCTATATGTTAATCTCACAGCGTCAAGAGTTGAATATACAATTCAACATACTTAAAGATGATCCATTTTATGAGAGGCTATGTCTCGTAACTTTTATAGATACTTTTGAGGTTATGTATTCTGTGGATACTAAAGTGGACACTTTTATAGATAGTAAAGAAGAGAACAAAGACAAAAAATATAGGAACACCAGAAGAAAGAAAAAATCAAAACAGGAACAAGAGGCGAAAAATACTACTGTGTGTCAATTGATTGTGGCAATGTATGATTTTAATTATAGATGCAAAAAATCGAATGTCCAAATGAAGCTAACAATTAAAAATTATCCTTGGCTAATGAATGCTATTCACGTAATAATGCGCTCCAAGCAAGTTTGTTTGTTTTGGAAAGAAGCGCAAGACGCATTGCGTAAACAAGAACGGGAATTGTATTACGATAGCATTTTTCCAAACACATTAACGGAAATCGCGGACGTAAAGTCAGGTGCGGCGTTTCGTTTGTTGAAAAAAAATGTACAGAGTATACAAGACAATTGGGAGGAGTATTTCATATATTGCAAGAGAAACTACAATAATAAACAGGTGCAAAATTTCGTCAGAACTATACGTTGGTACAAGGACATACCTATTAAATTTGCCAAGCAATGCGTAGATCATTTACACAGAAACATTACGGATGAAAAATCTGTCTTGATTCTTCTCAGCATTCTGCTGCACAGAGATACAGTGCAAAAATTAATAGATTCGTCTACAACCGCGCAAAGAAATTCTTTGATTTACAATCGATTTATGAACCATTTAAACATCTGCATGAAGTTCTTAAATCCGCCGCTGTCTCTCAAGTTTTTCATCAACAATGAGACATTAGACAAAAATTATCTATCAACAACGCTGATGATGATAAGGAGCGTAAGCAAGCGATCCTCTATGACGGAAATACTAGAATTCCCATATCGTTTTCAAAATGTGCACGTACGAAAGCAGTGGATCAATCTGATGTACTTTACAGTTCTTACGAAACATTTTGTAAATTTTCTTAAAAAAATATGGTTGATTGAGAGGCATGATTCGATACGCCAATTTTTATTAAATATGATCCACGGCTTGTTTTGCGAGAGACCACAGGAAAAAACTTGGACTCTGTGTCACACAACTTTTTCGGGATTGTCCGTCGAGGATGAGCAGCTGTTTTGGAACATGAAATATCGCAGGAACATACCCGACCCGTACAACGAAGAATACTTTGATCTGTGGCTCGACACGATAGACGCTCTTAGCGGAAGGGGATTGAGTGTCGAGCGTACAATACAACACACTGAAAGGTGTTTGAAATATCTTCACTTTTATACCCTCACATCTTTGTCCGACGAATACGTGAGGAATGTATTTCAACGCTTTTTCTTTCACCCTAATATCGGTATAGGCAAAGCCGTAAGAAGTTTCGCGATAACGTACATGTTAAAGTTGAATAACGATAAGCTCGCAATATACTCCTCGGCGATGGTCTTAATTTTTGTCGTCGCAATAGGAAGTATGTGGAACGTACCTCATCCCGTTAACTCATTTTTCTATCCGATTAGGAGCGCTGTGCAATCATCTTACGAACAGTTTATCATCGCGTACATGAAGAAACGTAGGGATCGGAATTGTGATGGGCAAATCTTATACACAATGCTATACATTTTTTCATCAGTCTTAACACCTATGCAAGATGTTCGATCTTATTTGCTGCTGACGTACGCGGTAAACCTGCACGCCTTCTCGTATACAACACCAATTTTAAATAACAGCTTTGGGTTTCAACTCGGACAAATCATACCTTATTTGATCAGCATATTATCGCATTATATGATAGATTTCATGGCCCTGCTCCTCGATCACTTGCTAAAGAACATTTATTCGTCTAACAGGCATCGCGACGTCATATCTAACGCTATAAACGGCTTGATAGATGCTCAAAACACGTATTCCAATTTCATGGCGATGACGATGTTATCGTTACAAGAACGCTGCAGAGAATACAACCAAATAATTGACAGAGCTGTAGACACTTTCTCGCACGACTCCACTTATTCGATCGTTTTATATCATTATCTAAACAAAGCGAATTTCGATGATGTTCCTTCGGATGACGAATCGGATTATGGATCGGATATATTCGAAGATATTTGATAAGTTAATTGACAAGTGAGTATAGTATTGCGTTCCGCAATAATATTTCATGATAGCTAATAGCTTTTTGTATAATATTGATGATTGAATTGCAACCACGAATATATACTTATCGTTTAAAAATATAGAGCATCTTATAATTTTTGAATTGCGTCACATACAATTGTACTGAAAATATTGATTTTTATGAATATACATTTTAGGTAAAGTTTGAAATTAAAAGAAAAAGAAATTTATTATATATATTTGATAATAGAAGATAATATTAATTAATATTTCATTAATTATATATATGATAAATGTGTGAACTCTATCGAAACTTTTATATTACAGGTGTTACACTAAAGCCGAAAGTTTTCAACAGATACTTATACAACAACTCTTCAATTTTTAACAATAAATGCATTAATAAACTGTTGCTAATTTATTTCACAAGACAAATGATATAGTGTGATGCATATGTTTAGATTATCGTAACAATTTCACATGAAAAACACACTGATACATATATTATATATATAATATATTTTGCACAATAACAATTTTATAAATTATTTTAATGTTATTACATTAACATATATTTTATATAAATATATTATATTATATAAAAAATAAATTTATATATAGATATATATATATATATATATTATATATGTAATATATATTTTATACTAATTTTTTAAACCATTATTATCACAGAGCACATTTATCTATTTTTTTCAATACAATATTACTTAATACACGTCTAAGTAAATTGTATAAATATTGGACACTCTTTGCGACACACAACCTTTTTTAAGAATTAATCGGCTAGTGTTTTATACATTTTATAAAAAATAATTTTTGCGTGAAATTTATAAATTATTTCGAGAAAACATAAATTAATAAAACATTTTTGTATTTTTATAATTCCTTTTACTTTGAAATAAATGGTTTTACTTTGAAATAATTTTGAGCAAGTCGAACGAGAGGTATTTATATCCCTATGTTAGTATCATAATATCGATGTAAATAATAATGATAAGTTAAAGCGCTAAACACATCAACTGATGCTTGAAAAGACACATGTGGATAGAATTCTGCTACACAATTCTCTTCAGAATTATATAAATCATGCAAAATGGAAATGTTTCCAGATAAAGTGGAGATTAATATTTTTAAATAAATAAACTAATATTTGTCTCATTATAAAATCATCAAATTATTGTAAAATTCTAAGAAATAGTATTTTATTTAATTGGTATTTAATTGTACAGAAATATTGATTTTTATTTATACATTTTGGGTGTAGATTGAAATTAAAAGAAAAAGAAATTTACATATATATATGTTTGATAATAGAAAATAATAATATTAATTAATATTTCATTAATTATAGATATGATATCTACCTTTTCGATGAAACTTTTTGTTTTTAGATTATTTAAATTATTGAGTGCGTCGAATGTCAAGACATGTACTCTCGCAAAGCTGCTTATAAGTATGTATTATTCGATCCTTGACGAATACATTGCCGTTTAATTCCTTCGTACATTGGTAGGGTAAACAAAAGAAGTAACATTCAACGCGAAGAAAGGCACATCGTTTAATCGAAATTTGCTGACCGGAGATATAAGAATATATAAGCGATACCTCTCGCGATGTAGAACATTTGTTAGTATGGGAATAACGTTAGAAGTCGATCACTTGTGAACAATTATTAAGAGTGTAATTAGTTAGTGACGAATAATGACTTTCTGCTTTTAATCGCGTGTTCTACCTCGTTTTATCGCGTTAAACATTATTGATGTGAATATAAAAATTCTCGGTGTCTATATTGCGCTTTGTAAGTGAAAATTTCTGTAATTTTATAAATTCGCAGAAAGGATTTCGGTGCGATAAGACTCTGATCTAAATGACTGAGTGTGTTAATAGTTTCGCTGCAAAGTAACACAGAAGGATATAGTGAGAAGTTATTTATTATAGAGTAGTTGTTTATTATAGAATAATTTTTGGCCGTGGACTGAGTCGTTTTGAAATCAAGCACGATGAATCCCGATGTATAAAACGTATAACAATTAAAGATTATCCTATGTTATTGAATGCTATTCACACAATAATGCGCTCGCCAATAGATTTTTATTTCGGGAGGAAAGTGTGGAACGTTTTGCGTATCTATGAAGGAGAATTGTACTGCAGTTGGTTCCAAGTGGATACGTCGGAGGACATCGCGACCGTTACGTCGGGCGCGGCGTTTCGTTTATTGAAAAAAGATCCACAGAGAGTGCTGAACAATTGGGAAAAGTATTTGATAAACTGTAAAGAATACTACCGTGAAAAGACGTACAACGTTTCCTTAGAGCCGTACGCTGGTACAAGGATGTATCTCTCAATTTTGCCAAACATTGTATAGACAATTTATACGGAAAGAATATACAGGAAATGTTACCTGACTTGACTATCTTAGGCATTCTACTTGGGAGCGACGCGTTTAAAAAACTGTTAGAACTATTAGAATTGTTTTTATTCGAGCAAATAAAGCTGCGTAATACTCGTGTAGATATCATAAGCACAGAAGATCCTACGTTTACTCTAATCTTACCTATTTTCGAACTTTGTAACTTGCCGGTGCCTTTAAAGATTGTCGCTAACTTATTTATAAAAAGTAAATCATTTGTAGGAAAGATGACGTTATTGAGAGTACTTGTGCGGATTTCTTTCGACGACCTGTTAGTATTCGAGAAAAGACTGTCGATGATGTGCATGTTGATGCGAAAGCATTGGATAGATATAATGTTTTCAATAAAACCTTTAACCCATCAGTTAGCTTTTCTTTTCGCAATGTGGAAAGCAGAGAAGCACTGGACAATATGAGAAAATATACTTGAAAGGTATCTGATATTATTCTGTGATATTTCAGCATTAATCACCAAAAAAATTCAACTACTAAAAGAAATCAGTATGTTATTTACACTCGATGATGTACATCTGCTTAAAAAATTTGAAGAGTATTCTTTCTGCATTGATAAAAAGTATATGTGGCATTACTGTGAAGTGTGGCTCACAGCAATAAGATGTTTCAGTCAAGCGGGGCTGCATTCTAAGCTTATAAGAATGCATACATTGACTCTCTTAAAAAGACTCGACTCGTTCAACTCAGCACCTGAATTTTTATATTGTATGAGTAAATTACTTTGTGTTTTTTTATTTCACGGAAATGCCGATATATCTAGTGTAATGCGATACTACGCGCTGCTATACTTTTCAGAGTCGTTCCACAAAAACGAAGACAATCGCGAAATATATTTGAAAATGATCATCAACGTTTTAGAGTACATCAAAATCTGTCGTCAATTCGATTTTGAACATTTATTCATTTATCCGACAAAGAATACCATGCATGCATTCTTGAACAAATTTGTTGTTCGTTATATCAAGTTATACGAGAGACCCGATTATGTTAATACTATCGATTATTTGCTGCGCTTGTTTCAATTTAAATTGTTACGTCAGCAGAATGTTAAGGTTTATTTACTATTAAAATACGCTAGGTTATTGTATGACTGTAAAAAAAGAGGCAACTTTACGGGATATCCTTTTAGGAAAGATGATTTTGGACGAGAATTTGACAATTACTTGCCTAATTTAATCAACACTTTTTCAGAATTCTTAGTACCTGTTATGGCAGAGATTCTTGAGCTGTTTGTAAAAATCATTTATGGATCTGACAATTATTTACATGTCATGAATCTTATCACACGTGGTCTTATGATTGTTGAAAACAATAAGAATGTCACTTTTATAATAATGATGTTATTATCATCAATACATAAATCTCAATATTATTCGTTAAATATTTCACCACATCCTGTTTCTTCTATGTGGAGTATCATTCATAACACAGTAATGTACACGAATATCTAATGTTTAATATCTCTTCTAATAATTAATTATCGGATTTTCCTTATTTATATTTAATATATACTTATGCGTTAGTGATATACTTGTTTATAAAGAATTTTATACAATATCTTTTTATATCATAATTGTGCATTAAAACAAATGTATGTTTTTAAATTTACGTCGACACTTATATAAGAACATAATTGTATAAACAAAAAAAAAAACAGTTTAGTTGAAAAGTTTAGTTGAAAGTTATAAGATGTTACAAACTATTGATTGAGAGCATATTTATATAATATATTTATATAATATAATTATATAATATATTTATATAATGTATTTATACAATAAGATTATATTATATATATATTTATTAATATATATATATATATATATATATATATATATATATATATATATATATATATATATATATATTATATATATATACTCTTAACCTTACCTTCCTTCGTTGTACTTCGTTGTATATAGTACATATATATATATATATATATATATATATATATATTATATTTACTTTATTACAACTATACTTACTTACTTTAGTTACGTTACGTTAGTATTTTTGTTTTTTTTTTTTTTTTTTTTCTAAAAAAATTTAATTTTAAACGCTGAATTTTTACTTAATTTGCATTTTATTTTGGAAAATATAGGATATATACAGCTTAGTTTTGAACAAATATTAAATAATGTTTTAAGAATCGAACATATTTAATCATACAATTTGGATGAAATATAAATATGTAAAATATAACTGAGATTTTATCATTATGAGAAATTTATCAATTTGAATTGTAGAATAAATATTTCTTAAGCAATTTTAATAGATTATTTTGCAATAATATTTTAATAATGACTAGAAATGATTTGAAATATACAATAAATGTTTCTTTAGCAATTTTAATAGATTATTGCGCAGTATACCTTTATTTTCCTTATTCTATTGTATTATTTTTTATTAATAGATAATTTAGTAAATTGCATATATAATGGAAGAATATAAATGAGCAGAATTTTGTCACACAGTTTCTTTATAAATTTATATAAATTTACTATATATTTACTATATATTTATTATTATTATTATTATTATTAACTGACACAATTAATGAATTAATATTACACTTATATGTATCGGACTTTAATAATAACATCTGAAGAATTATACAGATTGATTTTGTATTATACAAATTTAATAAGCGCATTATGCTAATACTTGATGAAACAGTTTTTTGATGTAAAATTCAGATGAAAAAGACATGAACATAAACGTGGCACAATATGACTGTGGCATATTCAAATAAAAAGCGGTACGATTTTTTCTAGCTTTAATCCTAATAAAACTAACTTGTGTGTACGTGTGCATGTACGTGTGTGTGCATTGTAATTTGTTTGCGTAAATATCCACTTGCATATATTGTGGATTTGATTCTACATAGCATCAAATGATGTTGTTATAATAAATCTATGGATGGAATTTATAAAAAAGTTTATAGAATATAGTAAATTTTTCCCTCCGGTATAATATCTTGTTCTGACAATACAGTGCACCTTGTACATTGTTACATCGTGTATGTTAATGCGTAATCACTAATGATACTAATTGTAAGCCATTACATAAATATATAAATACGAGTTCGTTAAAATGATTAATAATACATAATCTCATTTTTATTAATTACCAGTAAGCGATCGACACAGATATTTACTCTCGTCGATAACTGCATTGCTGTTATTGCATTAAATATAGGATTTGTCTTTAACGCGAAAACAAAATTATAAATTCAGCAACTTTCTAATTATCTTTTTATTTGCTTAGTGATAATTATCTATTTTTATTACGAGGCTAATTTGTCATCAACAATTTAAAAAAAAAAAAATTTATAGTGTATATTGACGTTATAAATCCTTTAAATTTTCATGTAATTTAAATTGTTGAGTGTGTCAAATGTCGAGACACATACGTGCTGTCCATGAAGCTATTATAATATTCATTGTTATTCGATCTTTAGTCAATCGCAAACATATGGCTGTCTCAGTATTCGATACACCGAGTTTCTAGCATAAACGAAACCAGGTGAAATACAGTTTGGTCAGAACAAAATTGGTAGAAGGATGTTAGATAAAAAACGCTATTTTATCTAACTTGCGACAACGGATGTGTAAAAGTGTATAAGCAATATAAAAGTGTATAAACAATATAACTTTGGATTTCTGGATATGACACATGTCAATATACATATGAGAATGAAATGAACGGTTAGTTAATTATGAATAATTGTTACGAGTTACGAGTTAAATTAATTAGTGACATTGGACAGTATTCTAATTTTACGCATATTTGATCCCGTTAATGTTCGTTTCGACTCACTTTTTGGACGTGAACATAAAAATTCGACTTGTATTGTACATTATAAATGCAAACGTTTCTCTATGTATGAATTCTAACCAATGTGAATTGTAGTATAACTTGACCTCTCGCTGACTTAATGAACAATCAAGTGCACAAATTTTACTGAATCACACAAAAGAATAAAGGATTTTTGTGCAATTCTTTACGGGATAATTCCTAGCAGTTTACCGGACCGTCTTAAAAGCAATCGCGATGAATCTCGATGCATTGCGCGACTTTCAAATGCCTTATCTGCAGGCTATTCAAACTATACCGGGTAACACTGCTAGCGAGAAACAACAGTGGATCGGGAAATCAGCTTCGCACGAGCTGCATGTCACTCAAGATCTAAAACAACTCTCTTTAGAAGCGATATCTATATTGCTACTGGAAGTTGCCGTAAAACACAGGCGACATGAGGATATAACATTAGCTCTGAGGTCCGATGACTGGACAATCGTGAATCGAGCTCTTAAAGCCACTTGGTTTTTCAACGGCAGTCAAGAAATTATCGACGCTGAATACTTTTCGAAACGTGTCTTTCCTTACATTTCTCGCCTTACGAAAACTCGTGTAGTGTGCACGCTTGCAAGTTGCATAAAGAATCCGTCATTCGCGGAGGCAATATTTAATGCTCTCACAATCACTTATAATGTCGAAACTGCTTTACCACTTCTAATGATTTGCGATCAAGAATTTATTTATGCAACGATAGTCGAGAAGAAACTTATTTTGCCTGTTCACATTTTCAAAAAAATATATTACAAAAATCCGGAGTTTGGAGTACGGTTACTTAAAGAATATATTGGACATCACAAAATGTATAGATTTTGTAATCGACAAAGGAGTTTGAATATAAGTGCTAGGAACAGTCCACAAAACATTATCCAAGAATACCAATGTATTTTGCATACATTAGCGAAGAAGAGATCGATGGAATTTGTGAACATTGTACAAAATGTAATTCAGACTGTGAATTTGTGTGATAAAATTGGTGTATTAAGCAAAAAATGTGCCAAAAAATTTTTGAAAAAAGCGAAAACCGCTGTGATTGGATACCCACATTTTTACATGCCTATGTTACCGTCTCAACTGATCAACGCAGAACTATTGGAAATGATGTTTCCGGGTTTAATGAAATATTATTGCCGTCACTTCTTCTGTACAGATAAAATGCTTAAATATTTAAAAGACTATCCGGAGGATAAAAGATTGGAGATACTTTTTGAAACATATAGGGATCTTTATCAACATGAACTTCTTGACAAAGTAGAAAACGTGACACCTGCTTTACTGAAAATATTACCTATCGAGAAAAGGATTATGTTTACCCAAAATATGGTAATTTATAACCTTTTTAATAACCTAAGATCTTACGAGAAAAGTCCGCTTTGTTACCTCTCGGTAGATAAAGCAATTCCGATTTTTAAACGTTTAATGAGATCTGTTAGAACTCAGCTGAGCACACTTGATCTTATCTTAAAAATGATATACACTTGCAAGGTTAACAATGATGAAGATGAGTTATATAATGTCTTATCGTACATTATAGATGGAGAGTACATCATAAGTGACTACATTACGTTAGAGGAAGCATTAGAAGCAATGCATCAGATTTTTGTTGTCTGTGAAGTACCATTTGTAAATGAAAGGAATGGCTCTCTTCTGTGTCACATGATACGATTGTTTTACACACAGTACAATCATACAATTAAAAGATTGATCATGGATATGTTGCATTTCAGATTTATTAAAAATATGCCAATCGCTGATTTAATTGATATGTTGATAGGTGTAAAAGATACATATTATTTCATAAAGTTTAATATGTTTAAATATAATGCACAATATGAGAAGCGTTGGCTCATATTTTTTATAGAAAGAAATATAAAGATATATAAAAGATGGCAACCCGTAAGAGATGAAGAAGGAGGATATCTGGATGTTGATTTAAAATACTCTGCTTTATGTCAATTGCTCATGGCAATATCTGATTTCAATGAAAGATGCAATAATTCACGAACAAGAATGGAGCGTATAGCAATTGAAAATTATCCTGATTTGATAAATGCTATTGATTCATTAATTGTCTTCGCAGCAAACACAATTTATTGGAAGAAGGTAAAGAAAGTATTACATAGAAACGAATCAGATTTGCATCGCCGTTTGAGCCGCATGCCGTATAGATCGCGGAACATGATCCACGTAGCATCGAGAGAAGCGCTTCGTGAATTGAACAACAATTTTCAGAGTATACTGGACAATTGGGAAGAATATTTGACAAATTGTAGAAATGATTATTGTGACAAACACGTGCAGCGGTTTGTGAGAGCCACACGTTGGTACAAGGATATTCCTATTAAATTTGCTGAGCGCTGTGTAAGTGATTTACAGGGAGAGGATACGGAAGAAATGTCATCTGCTTTAATTATTTTGAGTCTTTTGCTTCATGGCAATTCACTGACACAACTCTTAGATCTGCCTTTCATAAAAGAAAAAAGTAGAACTGATATTGTAAATATTGTAAATACTTATTATAACTTGAGTTTTTCGTATGTTTTAAGCATTATGATTTCTAATCCACCGGTGCCTCTTCGGCTAATAACGGAAGTATTTGAATGTCACTCAGCCATACAAATTATGATACTATCGCGTGTGATTCCACGGTTGCCTGTGCTGAACGTAATGTCATATTTTACGAATAATGTGTCGTCAATGTCCGTTAAGAGACGAATGTGGTGGATTCATCTCATGTGTTTAATTGTTCCTATAAGCGAGCAGATAATTTTTCTTTACGAAATGTGGACGACTGAAAAGCACTCGTGGGTAGAAGTAACTTTATATGGAGTGATGTGGATGTTATGTGATGATCCATATCGAGAAAACGCATTGTTGCTGCAACAAACGAAAGCGTCGTTTTTTGTCGAAAACGTAGATTTGGTTGTGTCATTTCAGAAATTTGCTTCCGACTTTGTTGATCATCCTTATGTCTGGAATTTTTTTGACATATGGCTTGAGTTTATAGCGATTTATGGTGAAATGGGTTATGTAGTCGAATTTATAGAAAAATGCACTACGGTATGCTTATGTTTTCTCAACCCGTTTTTTTTTAAATGTAATGACAATTTCGATATCAGTTACGTACTCCAGAAGTTCTTATGTCACGCAAATTATGGGATATCCAAGGCAATGCAAGACCACGCGTTGCCATATATTTTACGCATGGACGAAATTTGCTTTTCCGTAATTAATAATGTTCTTCCCAACATATTGTCCAGTCTTCAGAGCAATTTGGACCAGTCTCCGGAGCATGTTGGACGCTCTTCTGCAATAAGACACAACGTGTATTTATTTTTGGAAAAGTTTGTTGTCGCGTACAAGTTAAGCTCGTGTAGTAATTATGGTGCAGTAATTAAAAATTTGCTGAAAATGTTCGCAGAGGAATCATTAATTAAGCAAAACATGCAATCTTATGCGCTATTAAAATACGCGTGGATAATGTATATATCCGACAGAAGATGTGTTGTATTATGTGGCAGACATTTTACAGAAGATTCTAACGAACTTTTTTTTGGTCAACAACTTGGCCGACGAATGCTTTCTTTAGTCGAAATGTTTTCGCCACAATCACTGGATATGTTGGCTAAAGTTCTTGTGCGATTTCTTGTGCAACTTTATAAAGATGATAATTATTTACGTGTCATTAGTTGTGTCACAAGAGATCTGTTAATAGTCTCTAATAAACATTCTTGGGATATGGTGAAAATGATTTTAGCCGAGACACCATGGAAATGAATATAATAATTTTATGCAAACTTTTGAATCCGCTTCGTCTTCTGATCCATCTTTTGCCGAATTTTTTTAAATGTTCTTTTTAAACGTCTAAGTAAAATTAAATTTAGTAAAATTTAATCAAATTAATGATTTTTTTTGTGAATTGTTATTAGACTTTTTTATTTGTGAGACATTAGTTTTATATATGTACAAATTTGATAGTATTTTACAATGATGACTAGAAGTAACCTTTTTGACGTAGTACACTGCCGAGTGAAATACGATATGAATACATATACGTTGTCTTTTGAATGCCTAATCTTTATTATTTTCATGTCATATTACACGTAACTTTTTAATAAATATAACTTTTTATTAAATATGTTAATTGTATTTATTTATAAACATACACTGTTTATGTAGACTTTAATAATAAAATATTTAAATTTAAATATATTTTGTTTTGCGGAAATAATTGCAATGTTTGTGTCGTGCTATTTTATACAACATTAAAGTAG